GCCCTAAGGTCGCATCCCACAGGGGCCTACCTTAGCCCCAAAGGTATGTAAAATAATAGCCCTAAATCCATGATAACAGCCATAAAGGCCATTATTTTACATACTTTTGGAGTCCAGGTAAATCCTAAAGCCCAGCCAGGGTGTGGGCTCCTAAAGCCCAACCCCAGAAGCGTGTGGATGTCTGTGCCTAGCCGGCAATGGGTTTGCGGACTTTCACGCACCTTGTCTCCCGAAGTCATGCTAGCTACTGTTGGGGCCTATAAAATTGCCAATGCTATGATCCTCTTTATCGGTATGCTTATGATATATGGCGCCTCAAACAGGCATTAATTAGAATTCGGTGGATTATTTATTCAGGCTTTTTTCATACCTCGACATATGAAGTGCTCATTCTTACAGTAGGAGGGCAACGCCCCCCCCCCCATTTAGGAGTCTATCATGAGCATATGATAGCTATAGGCTCCTACTTGTGGGGAGTCAGGGTTACCACAATCGGGTTAGGGTGTAGGATTGGGGTTCAGGGTTTGGGGTATGTTGGGGCTCAGGGGTGGTGTAGCTGCAGAAGCTGATCCAAAATTTTGGGGGGATCAGGAGCATCAACGTAGGATGCCTGTTGCTTTCACGCAAGAATCTCGTTTGTTACAGGAGCTTGAAGCGTAAGCAAGCACGACTTGAGGGATCAGGGACAGGGTTGATCCTGCTTTAAATGGTAGTTTCCCAAAATAGGGGGACCCCAATATAGACCCCAAAATACTATAGTCCTTATTATAGGGATCTCCAAAATGGTACCTCCAAATTTTGGGAACCCCCCAAATAGGGGGAATGGAGGCTGGACATCAAATTGAGACCCTGTTCCGGGAGGTCCTGGACTGGAACTTTAATGGCCCAAATCTTGACTTGCTGGTTCGTAGCAGGGAATAAGGGAATACAATCCCCATATAACATGTTCCCTGAACCCTAAACCCCATACTCCCTACAAAGAACCAGTAAGTTGAAAGGAGGCTAAAACTCAGAGCCGGGTGTTTGTATGTGGTGGTTTTCAAAACGTAGGGGCCCTTTTTGGGGCCTCCCCTTAAAATTAAGAAGGAGTGCAGTATATTTGGGCCTACAGTGGGGCCTTCTCTTTATGGGACACCCCATGTGGCAGTATGAACTCGTCATCCTAAGCCCTAAAAACCTTGAACCTGGAACCCTTAGACCCAAATCCTGAATTTGTCTGTAGCCTCAATGCCTCAAGGCAGTTTCCATTTGTTTTTTATGTTCTGATCCATTTTGATTACCCAGAAACAGGGAATTAATCCCACTAATCTTGATATGAACTTTCTGACCCTACATTAACCTTCTTGTTATCCCTATTTAGGCCCCTTCCCTAAACCCCAAACACTAAACCCCCAACCCTAGCGGCAAAACCCCCAAACCTTGGCCCTGGCCTAGACCCTAAGCCTAAGCCCCAAACTGCAAAGGCTAGCCTGGTGGCTGGCACAGGCAGAGGAGGTCGTTTCTCAGCTGCGCGCTGTGCAGCTTAGGGTTTAGGGATTATAGGGTTTGAGGTTTAAGGCCTCTGGGTTTAGGGTTTACGTGGTTGAGGAGCTCTGGGTTTAGGGTTTAAGGTGTAGGGCCTTTGGGTTTACGCTTTGGGGGCTTTGGGTTTGGGGCTTAGAAGCTTTGGGCTGCCAAGAAGTATAAGGATGTGCAGAGTTTGGGAATTGAGAGCTGAAGGATGTAGATGGCTGGGGCCATCCTCCTTTAAGAGGCGGCGAAGACACGTTGTTGGAGGTCTCTTCTTCACATGAGGTCCAACATCAGGCATTTCCGCGTTCAGGATTTGGTAGGGTTCGGCAAATCAAGTCATAAGAGCTTGTAGGATTTCAGGCTTCAGGGGCAAACCAGAGGAGAAAGGCACTCGCTGTCTTCGCTGGTTCAGGCTTCGAAGCTTAGCAGCTTCGAGTTCGAGATTTGGGAACTCCCTGCAGTAGGTAGCATGCGTAGATAGTTCACGTTTTGCTTGTGGAGAAGCACTGAACTCTTAGGGTCCACGTCCCTAAACAGCAGATGTTTTGGGCCCGAAGTCAACTGAAATCTAGGCCTCACGTATACTATTTAGGTACATGGCTCTTACAGAAGTGACGACAGAAAGCCGGAGGCTGGGTTTACACTCCACAGAGCAAACATTGAAGGGTTGACAAAATTATGGGTCTTTTTCGAGGGTAAGCTGAATTTAAATGTATGTTTTGCTTTGTCCAAAGGGCTTGTTTAGAATTCCGTTATGTCTGATGACTATTGTTATTTTGATCGTTGCCGTTGTTCTTATTATTCTGATAAAGTATTACTATTATTATTGCTATTATTATTACTTATTACTATTGCTGCGTAGTCTGATGGGTGGATGAGGGACTGCCTGCTCAGCCAGATTCCCGGAAGCCTCAAAATTTTGTTCAAGCGCTCAACCCTACACCCCAAAGCCCCTAAACCCCCAAAGGCCCAAACCCCTAAACCTCTAAACCCTAAAAGCGTTGCATTCTGAGCCTCCATACCCCAAGCGCTTTCAATCCCAAGTGGTAATTTCCCAAAAATAGGGGGACCCCAATCTGAGCTATAGTCTAAATTCCTTTAAGGGGGGAAGTATGAGTTGAGACTGTAGCTCATATAGACCCCCGAAATATTAGAATCCTTATTCCAGGGACCTCCAAAAGGGGTACCCGTAGTACTGGGAAAGTCCGAAATCCCAACAGCGCTAAACAAACCTTCTATACTGCCCCGCGCAGCAGGTGCATTAGCATGTGTATATATTTATATTATATGTACATATACCTGCATGAGGCCCTTTCTGTAACCTTGTTACAGACTGTTAGACTGTCAGGAAGCGTGGCAGTACCCAACCCTAAAACCTAAAGCCAAGCCCAAGTCAAGGGTGTCGCTGATAAGATTTTTGGCTGTCGCGGCGGGATCATGACCCGGCTTCGCTTTCTGAAGGAGCCATAATCATAACAGTAGTAATTAATAGTTCATGACGTGCTAATACAATTATGATTGCAAATATCTATGAAAGCAATAAAGACAGCAATAGCAATAGATACTATAGTTGATGATCGTGCTAAACAATGGTAATGGTAATGATTGAGAATTCCTCCTTACAGATACTTTCCTTCAAGGGTCTTATCAAGGGCCTTATTAAGGCGCGATATAATATAACTCCTATGGCCTAGTGTGGAAATTGTGACTGTAAGTGTGAATGACTTAATATGACGATAAAAACAATGGTGGTAACGAAATTCCTCTAAAGTGGTTATATAAGGTGCAGGGTCAGCGGTGCGCTTTGGGGATTATGACCAAGGGCTCATGGTTTGGGGTTCAGGGATTCAGGGTTTAGGGGCACATAGCTTGAGGGGAAAGAGTTCAATTCAAGGTATACAGCGTTTAGGGCTCAGCATTTAGGGGCTGTAGGGTTCAGTGTCTATTGTGCTCTGGGTTCAGGGCTTGTAAAGTTTGAGGCTGTGTTCAGCTTTGTGATCCAGTCCGCTTAATAGCATGCTTACCCCAAGAAGAGAGTTTAGGGTGGAAGCTTTAAGCCCTAAAGTCCCAAACCCTGATCCATAAACTGCTGCAAGCCTTGAATTCCAAAATCCATCGAAGATTAAATCTCAACCCCAAATGGTAGTTTCCAGAAATCAGGCAACCCCAGCACAGACCCCAAAAGCCTAATGATGGGGTTCCCCAGAAAGGGACGCCGAATTCTCGGGAAACCTTAATCAGTGTAAACTCAGTTTCCATTTCATGTTGCTTTTCCGTTTGATTCTCCACTATTGGGGTAGTATCCCAAAACCCTAAACCCGAAATTGTAGTTTCCATGTTCTTTTCCAGTATCCATACACATCCCCATATAATCTCTCTCTCTCTCTATATATATATATACATATTTAGCCCCATATCCTTCGGAACCCCGAATGCGGAATGTCGCCTTATACCCCACAAGCTACACCCCTAAACACCAAGCCCGAAACCCCAAACCCTAAACCCGCTGACATCTGCAGTTGGAAACAGGCCCGCCAAAAAAACAACCCTAAACCCTGACCCTAAAACCTAAACCCTAAACCCTAAATAGTAGTTTCCATTTTCCGTTATCCTAATATAACCCCAATATTAACCCTAAACCCTAAACCCTAAATAGTAGTTTCCATTTTCCATTATCCTAATAGAACCCCAATATTAACCCTAAACCCTAAATAGTAGTTTCCATTTTCCATTGTCCTAATATAACCCCAATAATAACCCTGCCCTAAACCCTCAACCCTAAACCCTAAACCCTCAACTTTAAACAGGAGAGGCTGGGCTTCGAGGCTCGGCATGTTGTGGACGTGGGCGCTCACGTGGGCAACTGGACGCGGGATGCCAGGGAGGTGGCTGGATTTCTTGGGCGTGGGTTTTGGGTGTAGGGTTTAGGGTGTTAGGGTTTTGGGTTTAGGGTTTTGGGTTTTGGGTTTAGGGTTGGGGGTATAAAAGGGAAAGGGAGTGTATAGGGATTGTATGAGGATTACATTGATGGAATAAAGGGGTATACAGGGAGTACAGAGGGATCACATTTTCCGCGCGCAGGGGTCTAGGGTTTCGCAGTTTCTGGGTGCACGGTTTTGGGGGGCTTCTGGCCAAGGGGTCCAGATGCCAATAGCGCGGCTTGCACAAGAGTCCAAAGGGGGATGGTGATGCCTCAGCTCATGCTCAGCTGCCCCAGGACCAGAATATTCTTGTTACAGGTATGGTACGTGCCGTTGACCCTAAATCCTTAAGCTTAATCCCCAGACCCTAAACCCTTGAGCTTCGACCCCCCCCAAAGGCTACAAGGGTCCAGTGCTCCATGGGAGTGCTGAAGCCCAAACCCCTCTCCCTTGTGACTCAACCCAGGTCCTTACGCCCTCTACAGTGGCATTTTATTTGCAGCTTTCATGAGCAGCAGAATGGTTGGCTTCATGTTTTCCTGGGAGGGGATTACTCTTGCAATGGAGGTGTTTCCGGATGCCGACTTTCTGCTGATTGAAGCCGACCCTGCTCACACTGAAGATCTTAGGAGAACAGGCGTGGGTTAAGGGTTTGGCAAGGTCAGGGCTTGTGAGTACGTGTCAGAAATACAGGTCCCGAGAAGAAGCGGAAACTAGTGAGACTTGCAGTTCTAAGCTTTCAGAGTTGCATGGTGTTGCCGGGCCTCCCACGACAGAAGCAGTGCTTAGGACACGTATCGTTGCTGCGTCTATGAGGGCTGATCTTAAGGCTTTGATGGATGTTCAGCGTTGACTCCTGCAAGCTCCAAAATGTTGCTGGAGGACTAGGGGACCCGTCCTTCCATGTCAGCAAGCTTGTCTGCAGTGATGGGACCTGAATGCTTCAAATGCAACACCCGCAGGCTCGATTCTCCCAAGTAGTCTATACATTGACCCCGACCTGCCCATAGTGGAACCACGTAGGTTGCCTCCTCTTCAAGCATGAGAAGACCTATCGTCCCAAAGCGGGGCATGGGTGGGAAATTCTCATCAGTGCAAGGCGAACATGAGGGCTTAGGGTCCCCAATATAAACCCGAGTAGACTGAAAAGTAGAGTCCTTGCTATGCCTAATTTTCGGAACCCATACAAACACCCAAGGGCACTGTTGGGTATCTATTGGGTTTGATCGGATTGTGCGTTTTGCCCAAGCAAAACAGCAGGTGAGCGCTTTGAGATTGCGCTGCTTGCTGCTCAGCGAGACCAGAATATGGTCTTCCACAGCACGCGCTGCAACATCAAGAGCGGTGCAACGAGGGCTTGGCTAGTGAACAGGGCCTTAGAAAGCTTGGATGCAGGTTTGAGAACAATCCGTTTTTCTCCATGTTCAATTGGAAAAGTTGCAGCAACGCCCCTGCAGAGATTTGCAAACTGTTGGGCACGTTGTAATTAGGGTTACAGGTGCAGACATTGTCGTAATTGGGGTTCATTAAGAGCTTTGTTTATGATCTTGGACTTAGGGCACATGGTTCATCAGTAATTTGGAGCTTGGGGCCTCTTGAATAAAAGCTGTCCGAGAAGAACTTGGCCTTCCAAACCCTTACTAGGGTTTGGGCTTTAGAGGCCCGTGGACATGACATGTTTGTGCCAGGTTTCTGTTGATGGACAGCATCACGCCGTTTTTGTTGACTCTGAAGCAGAAGATCTGCAAAGCCTGTAACAAAGCAACAAAGCCGTTTCTGCTCTCCCTGTTGTTGCGCCCATTTATTCTTTACAGTTGAGGCCCCCCTAAACCCTAAACCCTTAAAGTTGTTCAGGTCCCACCTTGCAAGGGGGCAGGGAAGTCAGCCTGAGTCTAGAAAGGCAAACTTGGGTGTTCAGGGTCTTGCTCCGGGTTTTGGGGTTTGGTCAGGAGGTCCATACTAATGTAGACCCCTGATTAATAAACCCCCTCCCCTTGATTGGGATTATCATAGGAATCCTAATATTTAGGCCCTTAAAAGGAGGGGTTTGTTAATCAGGGGCCTACATTAAGGTTATACCATGGGCTTGCGCGTGAAAGCTTGGAATCCCACGAAAACAGTCTCTTTTGTCATGCGCAGGATATCCCAGAACTCCATGTAGGGTATACTGAGACTATTTGAGTGAGTTTGGGGTGTGTAGGGCGTAAGGTCCCGATACAAAGACAGTTAGTCTGGAGGTGCTTCCATCTTTCGGGAGCAGACCCCCTGGTACGAGAATCCATTCTGCCACGAGCCAAAGATGCTGGGCTTTGCTTATCTTATGGTTTAGGGTTTAGGGTTTAGGGTGTGGACACCCCACCCAGTAATAGTAACTATTAAGGTAATAAGTTTTATATATGAGGGTCGCGGTATATTGCTATTGGACCACTATTACAGGGCGAGGGCTCCTCCTAACTCAGTAGTATCAATGAGTGTTTCTTGATGCCCTACTAGCATTGATTCAAGTCCTTCATTGCTGAGAGCTATTGCTGAACATACTCTATTCATTCATTAGACTTAGTGATAAGGTTTGCTGTTTCAGAAACTTAGGAGGTTAGAGTGCCGCTATTGGGACGCAGGTAAGGGAGCCCAGTTGAAGCGACCAAGCCAGTCAACAAGCGGCTAACAAGAAACCCTGCAAGGAAGAGTGCCTATATCCCCATATGCTAAACCCAGAACTTCTGGGCATTGGAATGTAAATAGTAGTTTCCAGAAATCGCGGGGCCCAGTATAGACCCCCAAAGATTACATAACCCCTGTTACGGGGACACCCTAAAGAAGGCACCTAACTTGGTAACCCCCCCAAACCCACATCTCAAACACAGCAGCAGCATCCCCTCACTTGAGAGCCAAGGATGCTACGCAGCCGAACTCTGGACCAGATCGTTCAGAACTTCAGTGGCCAAGCTTGTTGGGGCGTTCCCTAAATTGGGGGGTACCTTTTGGGGGGGGGTGCCTAGATTAAAGATTATAGAGTTTGGGTCTGTACTGGAATGCCCAAGTTAGGGAAACTACAGTTTAGGGGTTCGGGTTCACGGTCATGTTTGTCATGGCTCCTATTCGTACCTTCATTGTTATTGGTAGTGGTATGTTCGAGTTACAGAATATGGCATTCCAGAGCTTCAGGCCGAAGATGAGGTTTAGCTCTTCTTGACCTACTGTTGAATGATTGTTTCTTGGTGACACCGGCTCTGTCTCAGGCATGAGCTTCATTTGTGTTTGTAGGGTGTTACAGCTATAGAAGCAAACCAAGGCCCTTAGCCCCCATGCGAGGCACATGGTTAAACCTGCGCCTCAGTCCCAATGCTGCAATAGGACCCGCAACCTGGAACCTTTTGAACTAACATGTAAGCTTGAAGGGAAGGAAGAGTGATGACCAGTCAGAATCAGGAAGGGAGGATTTGGGTAAAAGGCGCTTTCAGGCCTGTATGATGATCGCGGTATTAGGTTTTGATCTATAGGTCTAAAGGAGTACTGTGGCCCGGTCTCGGCCCCATCACCACAGCAACCCCTGCACACTCAAGCCTAGACCCGAAGCACCAAAATGTTCGGGAGGTTCGGCCGGCACGAGCTGCTGCGACCTTGTCAAGGCACCTAGAGCTCGTCAGCGTTGTCTACGAGTCTGTTGTCTTCGTACCGTTGCCTAAGGCGGTATAATCCTCTTCCTCAATATTAACGTCCTCACCCCCTGATAGTGGCAACTCTTTTCCAGATTGTTTCTAGATTCTGCTGAGGGGTGCTTCTCAAAAAGGAGATGTGGCGGCCTTTCGTATGCCCTTAACCCCAAACACAAAACAGAATGCCCCACTTTTCACTTTTCTTGTCAATTCCCCCATCTACCCCTACATAACCCTTTGGGGGAGAGGGTGCTAGGGGGTCATTTTGTTTTGGAGGGAGTAGGTTGTGCATATAACCTTATATCACCCTTAGACGCCCTTAAAGGTACCTCTAAGTTTGGGCATCCCCCCCAAGACCTGAAAACCTGCGCAGAGCGCAAGAAGCTGCAACAATTTCGAGCTGTCCAGGCAGACGTGCAGGGCGCTGATACTAGCTTGCATATGGTAGTTTCCCAACATGGGGGGACCCTAATATACATCCCAACATACTAGAATCCTATTATAGGAACCCCTCCCAAAGAGGTACCCCAAATTTTGGGAAACCCCCCATATTATGGGAATATAGTGGTCAAGTTACCTGTGTATATAGGGTTTACAGTAAGGTTTAGGGTTACCATCCTATGGGCATATAGTAAATAGTTGCTGGGGCTTTCTTATTAGAATAGCTGTGTTTCGGTTCCTCAACAGCAACCCAGGAGATTGAGGTATTGAGGGGAGGGCTCCGCACTCTACGAAATGCGAAGCTGGTGCTTCTGGAGGCCGATTGCAGCCACTTAAACCCTAAACCCGAAACCCTGGCTTAGGGTCTAAAGGTTGACTGGAGAGCTCGGCAAGAAACCTTGAGGGATTGGGGCTTAGGGTTGGGAGTTACGAGTCTAGGCGGAAGGTGGAAGGTTTAGGGTTTCATTTGGAGGTTAGCGTGTTCTTCTCCTGGGTGCACTGTAAAGCCTTGTGGCACGATATAGCCGACAGACGCTATCGTACACCCTGAATCCGTTTGGGGTTTCATGGCTTTGGGTCCCTCAACCCCAAGTGCTGAGCCTGTTTCCCGCTCTGCACGCCTGGAGGCACCAGTTCTGCCTTACAACGAGGGTGCGCCTCGTTTTTCTGATGCTCGCCGGGGATGATTGACGACCAATAGGGGTATTTTCGAAGAAATATGTATCCCTCTTGATACCACCGCACTCCAGTTACAATACGTGCACAACAATGTCAACTACTACCATGGACACTCTGTTGTTGGAACGCGCTGTCTGCGCCAATGATTTGCCGCATGAGTCCCACTTGCAGCTCGGGAAGCTTTGGCTAGGGTTTCAGGTAGTTTGGGTGTAGGGCTTTAAGGAGTTTGGGGTTGTTTAAGGCTTCGGGTTTCAGGGAGTTTGGGTTCAGTCGCTTGGTGAGATAAAGGTTTTGGTGCATTAGGTAGGAGTTCGGGGGCTAGCCTTGTTTGGTTTCAGGATTTGGGATTTTGAGTTCGGGGGATTCAGGGGTTTAGGGTTGGGATTTTGAGGAAGACCAGTTCAGTAGAAATGATTATTGAGGCTCGGAGGCCACTTGACTGTGTGAAGGGTGCGGGTCCGGTTCTGAAGAACAGGCCTTTTCTGGATTCTTGGACGTACACGGATGGTAAGGGGATTGCAGGGAATTCGTGGGATTCTATGGGATCATCTCGCGAGACTCCCATGTTGTCCCCGAACACAGAGCAAGGATCTCATCCGCTTCATGGCCGAGAAGGGCTTTGAACTCGTAGATCTCGCCGACGCGGCGTACTCCGAGGACGGAATATCACATGGCTGCGCGCTTTTGATGGTTTATAGAGTGCACGCAGACAATACACGCAGGCATGCGTACACACACACACACATCATAAATGTGTTGATGCGTTTATGGGTGCAGGGTCTAGAAGGTTTCTGCAAATTGCGCGTTCTTTTGCCTGCGCTTAAGGACTAGGGATCCTAGCATCATCCATGATACACAGACAGGACGTAAACTTCATGGAGTCGATATCATGGAGGGCCAATGGGCGCAGAGAGGGATTGAGGTTGGAGTGGAGTGAGGGAGGCGTGACTCGTTGACTACAACCAGGCCTGTTCCCTAAATGGCCGTTATGGCAAATAATCCTTATACCTACAGGAACTTGAAACAAATTTCCCAGCTGACACCGCAGTAATGTCCAAGGCCGCATGAAAGCCACGATGCCCGCATCCTACGACGAGCAGACATGATTCACACAAAAGCCTATATTGGTTTAGGGCTTAGAGCCCTAAACCCCGCAACTTCTGCATCCCCCAAGTCCCAAAAAACTTTATGCCGGCGGAATCACTGCCCTGTTCGAGATCAGATTTACTGGCTTTGGCATGGCTGTAGGTGGAATGTCGTGTCCTTCAGGCTGCAAAGACCCTAGAAGCACCAACGATTCTTGCGAGCAAGGCATGGGGACTAGATTCTGTTTAGTCCAAGGTCTCACCCTGGCGCAGGACATTACGATACTAATGTCCACACCTCGAACCCTTTGTTCAGCCGAACCCCAAATCCCGCAACCTGCTGGCACCAAAGTGCACAAGAGGATGTGGCGCGCCTGCTCCAACTGGACGTGCTGTTTGCTCCTGCATCCTCGCCACTTCTGCAGAGGCCTCTACACGAACTCGGGGCTGCTACAAGTCAGATAGTAGCCGCAGAAAGGGCAGTGACAATTAGCAGCAGCAGCAGTACTCTGAAAAACTCACTTTCATGAAGGTCGCATGCGGGAATGAACAGGGCCGAGCAGTCTTTGTTTGACAAGGCCTTGGCTTTCAGAGTAGTTTTAGGGTGGGTGGTGAGGGCTGCTATTGCTCTACATGTTGATCCACCTACTGTGATAGCTAAGGAGGCTTAACCCATCAGTTGTTTATCTTCAAAATGTCACTAAGGTTACTGCTGATTCGACGCCCCCGCTATCATACTTCTCACCGCTACACATATCCAAAGCACTATTACGTAGCGATTGTGAAAACTTTCCCCTGTAAACCATGGCCTCTTTAATGTAGAAGCCTTCAACCCCGAAGCTTCAAAACTTCAGGCCCTGAACGTTGAAACCATAAACCCTTAAACGCCAAAATCTTCACCCCTCACGCCTTAAACCTTGATATTGGCCCTTCAATCGTGGTTCATCTGCGGCTATCAGCAGACAGGCGCATGTTAATATTCAGTTCGGAAGGTGTATCAGTCCTGGTAGAGGGTTCTGTTTCATCCGTTTTGTGAGAAGGTTACAATGTCGACAGGTCTTGAGGATGCACCAGGTACGCGCAACTACAGAACCCACCATGAGGCGAGATTTGTGCACATGAACCGCAGTAACTACTCCTTGGAAGGTTTCCTACAGCAGGCCCCGCCACAACACCTTCAATCGTGGTGGTCATCCCAGCAACATCTCAACAATGTCATGCAATAATGTTGGAGGCCACTACCTGGAGGGATCCGCCCTGCACCTTCACGCGATGCAGACAGATCAAGGATCCCGCGATAAAATGACCCCTATATAATCCCAGTTTCCATTTCATGTTCCATGTTCTTTTCCAGTTGATTCTCCATTATTGGGTACTATTGGGTACCATAGCATCCCCAAATAACATACTAAGCAATAGCCGTGGCTTTGGAAAGTATTTGCTTCTTCCAGCTGCAACCCCATCCCAAAGTCTACAAAATAAGAATGCAATGCTGGGAACGACGTGACTACAACAAGGGACTTTCAGTGGTAGGAACATTTGCTCAAATCATTCAGATGTCGGCGTTTGCCGCGTAGTGAATTGCTGTCTCATCACCGTGCTTTCATGGCACTGGGGCGCTGAAGATTTTCAGGATGTGAAATTCGGGACCACAAATATTGAATGGAGCGCTTGTAGTGTTTGAGTGCAGAGCTTGGATTTCTTGTGTTTTCTGTTGGGCATGATGTCACTGCGAAAGATTTGTTCATCAGGGTCTCGTAAACCTGTTGTTTGAGTGGTCCTAGTCTGCAGGTGGCAGCAGCTAACAGCTCAAGATGTCGCCATTTTGTAGGGTCTGACACAGGAATATGGAGAAATGCGGGGGTAGTGATGTACGTTCGAACATATTGAAATGAAACTCTGAGTGGTGACAGTAATTCCGGAGTCTACGTAACAAGTCTCCTGGCTTGCTGCAGTGAAACGCTAGAACAAGGCCACCGGAAATGTTTTTTTACGATCTGACAATGGGTAATGGAGAGGTCACGAAATTCCTCTGGCGGCTGGGTCCTCAATAACTGGGTGCAGGCAAGCAGGCAGGCAGGGAGGCAGGCAACCCAACGACTCTGAACCCTGTGCCCAATCCTAAGAAACCCCGATTATCTCCTGATAACCTAGATGTCGCACATACGGGGTGGTTTCAGCAATTAACATCCCCGCCCGGTGTGCCTTTTTTCCATGAATCCTCATATGAGCTAGAATCTGGACTCCTTAAAGGGGGGTTATATGGGGTTTGCATAGGGGAGAATTATCGTGCTTATTCAGGGGGCATACTAGGAGTTAAGACATGTTAAGACTATACCTCATATGTGTGGGACCGTTTGCAGAGACATGACGCCCCTCCCCCACCCTTCTGTCACTGTAACCCGCTTGAGATGGAACAAGATTCTTGAGAAAGCTCCTTGCGGAAATTTGCCTGCCGCATCCATGGACTCGAAACATTCGTCTAGATTGAGCTCAGATTCATACCTGTTGGGGTTGAAAGAGAGGGAGCTAGGGTGTGGTTTTTGTTTTCACTCAGACTTTCTATTACCTTCAACTGCCAGCCAAAGCTGTCTAGTCCTTGTAGGTGTAGTTGATTCTTCGGATAGGACTATATGATGCGTGATGCAGTTATCCGAAAGAAGGTTGCGCGAGTCAAGCCGGCGTGAAGTTTTAGGACTTCTGGATCTACGTTTGCACTTGGGACGGGAGAGGTGATCTCCTACCAGAAAACCCGAGTAAACTGACAACCGGCATGTCCAAGCACATCTTTTCCAGAGGTGATCTCACATTTGCCTAGTTCGAGCTCGTACACCTTGATGACCATCCGAGATGGCCATGCTAGTCCCTGCTGTAGGGGCCGAAAATGCCTATCGATGATGATGATGATGGAGCAGAAGATGAGTTGTTGTGGAAACTGGGCATATATGTGGGTGTTACACGGACGGTTGCATCTATCTTCTCAGAATTTGGCTGCTACAGCTATGACGTATCTGGCGGCTTCAGGCATTTTGAATTTATGTTGCTGCATGTCTCGGGCACATTGCAAGGTAAGCAGTGCAACCTGCAGATTTGACGTTGCATATTGGTTTTTGCCCCTGCAAGCACTTCCAGAGTTCTTCCCTCGAAAGCCCGAAGCCCTACCCTCCAGCTTTCCATGCAATCTCTGAACCCCGACATTACTTCCTGGTTGTTAGTATGGAATCAGGGAATATATTTCCTATATCACCCCTATATAATATATTCCCATATTCCCTACTAATCCCCAGTAAGATTACGAGCTTGAAGTTGGTCATTCCTCTTCTTAGTACTTCCTGCAGGTTAGTAGGGAACATTATATATGGGTTATATAGGGAATATTCCCTTATTCCCTACTCAGCACCAGTAAGATGATGAGATAGGCACAGACTACGTTTGATCAAGCAAGGCTTGGCTAGCAAGCAGATGCGAGGCATGCAGTACGTAAACCCTTAGACCCTAAGCCCTGCAGCTTGTACGCTGGACGCCCTTTCACCCTAAACCTTTAAACCTCCTAAACCCTAAACCCTAAACCCTAAACCTTTAAACCCTAAACCCTAAACCTTTAAACCTCCAATCACATTGAGTTGGGGATTTTCAATTCCGAGCCAGCCTCGCCATGGGTCGGGCAAGATGGTTGTGGAAAGCGCTTTTGCTTGCAGCACCCTGGCAAGCAGGGGTTCTTATGCCAGGATTGCGCAGGCCATGGAGGTGGGGATATGGTTCATGAGCTCAATGATGGGACGGTTTCTGAGTCTCCAAAGTCGGGTTCTGTTTTCTTGAAGGTGTGAGTTCAGGAAGCTTATCAAGGGGCCATGAAGAGCCCCACCTGAATTGAATCTTGAGAGGCGTTTATCGCATTTATGGTTCTGGGCCTTGGAGACTTCAAGCCTAGAGCCTTCTGAGGCGGGCTTTAATAATAATGGTAGAAGAACTCACCGACAAATCCAGCAGGTGGAAGGGTGGTGTCGCTCTAGCTGAGTGTAGTTTGGAGCTTAGGGCTTATACTTACTCTACTTTCGAGGGGCCGCTGACTTCGTAATCGTTTTTCATCGCTGTTCCTCGCCCTTGTAAAGATAGGGCCTCCCTGTCTAGGCTTTTCTAGACACCAAACAAGCCGGTGCTGGGAACCTACAGAGTTCAGACATCCCAGTCATTGTAGCAAAAGGTTGTTCAATAATGCCTTTAACCCCAATATATACCCTATAATCCTAATATAAGCCATTATAGTAGTTTCCATTTTCTTTTCCATTATCCCAATATAACCCCAATATATACCGATGTACATCGCCGCAGCCGAGCAGCACACCTTGAGGAAGTATCCTTGGGCAAGATCTACTTCTCCGAGACCTTCGACGACACCTGGACTGAAAGATGGACGCTGAGCAAGTGGAAGGACAGCGACAAGGCCGGTGCAGGATCCAGGGCCAAGCTTACGGATTTTTACACTCCCCTCCGACTAACAATAAACTGTAATAAACCCTAACCTCCCAAATAATGAGTCCCCTCAATATTCAATATGGTATTTGTTTTCAGCCCCATAACAATTGGCAGCCTTTCGTGTTCATCCTGAGCCTTTTTCTGATTAAGCTGGTGCAGCTGAGGTGCGTAGCACTATCGGCTTCAGAACAGGTGTACATACAACTGACTCCCATGCGCGTGGACCTGAACTCCGCATCTATGAATCTCTTCCTACTGGTTCTTAGTAGAGAATGAGGGAATATACTATAGAGGGACTATATAGGGGGTACATTCCCTTATTCCCTACTAAGAACCAATATGTCATCATTAATAAGCCCCTTAACCAGGAACCCTTTGTCAGCCCCTACCATATGCATAAGGGCCTTTGGGCCTTTACATTGAGGTTTCCATCCGCCAAGTAAGTTCTGAGCCCTAATCTCTCATCCCTACCTGTAGCCCCAGTTAGGGTTTAGGAAACCCTAAACCCTAAACCCTAAACCGTTAAAGGTTTAGGTTAGGGTTAGAGGTTTAGGGTCTAGGGCCGCAATCACGCATTAAGCGAGTAGTTACGACAAAATGGAATGTAATTGGGGCTATGGGTACTCCTTCGTCCCTGAGACCTTATATGGCAGAGCACTTTCAGCTTGAGCAGACTCGAACATAGCTCCTACTGCGTGAATTTGGGGTTTCAGGCGCCAAGGCTGAGGGTTTAGGGATTCCCTTACCATGAGCCTCCCCACTGCCTCAGTACTTCATGGGAGTGTGGACAGGGCGTTATGCTAGGGAAGGAATATCGTACCTCTTCACAATCCCTTGAACCCTCTGATGGTAAGTTTAGCTGCGATTTGCGAAGATGTTTAGCAAGCGCCATTTCCATGCCTGGACCTGTTCAGCAAGCCATATCCTTCTTCAAGGCTGAATAGTTGCGATTATGGCAGCTTCTCTCGATTAAGTATCATATCCCACCGTCTCTTACAGCTGCTAGTGTAGATCACACCAGCAAGTCTTGCGTACTATGCCTGCCTGGCTATTGGACCCTTGATTCAGGAGAAAATGGGCAAGTGGGTACTGTCGCGGGGAAGGTTCTTCCGGGACGCCTCTGAGGACCAAGGCTCCTCGGACCTAGGCGAATAAGGAAGCCCTAAGGGGGCACCACACGAGCTATAGCCTAAACTTCTTATTAAAGGGGGTTATATAGGGGAGTATTATATTAAAGGGGTTATTAAAGGGGATACTAGGAGTTTGGACTATGGCTCATATATGGAGGACCTATATCAGATCCCAAGATGTGACCTTAGGGGGAATTACGGAAGTCTTGGCGAGTTCTTTGTTCCGGGTCCGCGGCATATGGGGCCCCCTCAAAGAATCCATAGCTGACAATTACGAGCTGTTCCTAAATTAGCATGTTCATGCAAGGATCTTGGCGTTTCTTTTAGACGGCAAAGTTTCGTTTGGCTCAAAGGGCTTCATAGGCGTCTCTGGATCCGAGAACATCTATGTAGGGGTTGTTGCTTCACACTAGGAGTGCAGGCCAGGATTAGCGTTGCGTTCGTTCAGAGGCGAATTTGGAGTAGTTAAATTGCATGGCATTCTGCAAAGCACAGCTTACCTGTCCCAAAAAAAAGAGCTGGCGATTTCTTCACCAGTGAGGCCACTAAAGTTGGTCGTTGCCAACATTACTTTTCTTGGTGTCAGGTTGCCACCTGTTGCAGGGTTGACGTATATACCTTGGTTTCGGGGCACGCCCAATTGAACGGGCGTCCACGGCCCCAGGGTGAAACAGCTGTGCTCAGTGTTCTTTCATGCCGTCTTTTGCAGTTGTGGGCTCAACTATGAACCTATGTAGGGAAAACATGGAAACCCCGAATCCTTCATATCCTCTTGTAACATCCTAAAGTCCCGTAAAACTAAATTATACTAATGTGCCTACCTAGCCCTGAACCTTCTGCTCCGAACCCCAGCCCTTAACCATGACTGTTGGACTGGAGAAGCTGGCAGTTCATTGGGTGTTAGGTGCCTTGGTAGTCCCTGGGCGGAAAGGCTTTGCACCACACATATATACATGTATGCACATACGCACACATATATGTATATATGTGTGTGTATATATATATATATCTATCAATCTATGAATGGGATCCGGTGAAGTCGGGGTACCAGTATGTGCCCTGGACAATCAAGTCCTGATGCTCCGAGGACTGCAGACAGCAGAGATCATGAAGCCACTTGCCTCCGACTTAAGCCAATGCACTTTGGGTATCAATCATGGCTGGATCTAGGGGGTTAGAAGGACGTCCGCGAACATGCGCTCAAGCAGCGTGATGGTGTTGTACTCTATAGTCAGGCTTAAAGCTTGCTATAAACTTCCGACCGGTCCGCTTGAAGAAGATTACTTGCAACTTTGCTCTCAGGTTTCATGTTTGCTTGCATTGTTGTAGCCTCTTTCGTAAACCTGCAAAGCATCGAGAATTCCATGCAATCCTGACAAGTTTTGTTTGTGCTTACGAGGTTCTATGGTGTGGCTGCTGCATTCGAACCCTTCAGCAATGAAGGCAAGGACCTCATCATCCAGTACCAGGCAAAGTACGTGCCGAAGCTGCAGGGACGGAGGATTCCCAATAATGCCCCCAGAGCAGCCCCTTTCTGGAACTATAGTATGTTATACTTCGCACTCTAAATTTCCATTCCTGGCGTTGGAAGAGGGGATCTACGCTTGCTCCATACACACTCCTCATCTCAGAACTCCAGTATGTCCGACATCCGAATCATATCAGAAGCTCCAAACCGCGTGTAGAGTTCGATGTCAGCTTTGATTTTCATCTTGAATTTCTGGGCGAGAATTGCATGCTGTGTTTCAGACATAAGCCCGGCGCCTGATGACCCTAAACCCTAAAACCCTAACACCCTAACGCTAAACCCTAAACCGCATGTGGAGCCGGCAGCCTCTCTCTCGTCTCATAGGGCAGTCTGCTTTAGGAACGGCTACCGTCCTTTCAAAAGGGGGCTATAAGCTTGAAATCCCTCAACTTCGAAGTCAAGCAATTCGGAGCTCGTAGTTCAACAGTTTGGGGGAGGTGAAGGACTTTAGGGTTCTTTGTGTTGAGCTTGGGTTGGCAGGCTTCAGGGTTTCAGCTCGCAGCCCCAAGCTCAGCGCACCACCCCACTCCCAACTTCCGCTGGTCAACATCGTCACCAGTCTGTTTCGGCAAGTGAGGCTACGAAAGATTGAGCGGGAGAGCCAACATAGAATGAAGGCCTTAAAGCCCTACAGTAGAAGCGAGAGCCCTAGATTCCTATTGGAACCCCAGTACCTTTTGCATCCTTCCGGTCTCCCTACATTGGGAAACCCCCCCACATCCCAAGGAGAAGGACCTTGGCTGTGGAGGAGGCTACCTGAAGGTTGGGCCCAGACAGGAGGAGTCCTGGGCTAAGGGTGTTATAGCACTTTGGACGTAAATGTAAGGGGCAAAGTCCGAAATCCTAAATGGGTATTGGTCTAAATTCCCTATAGTACGGGGTCCTATATTTGGGTTCCCATTATAATACGGGGCCCTATATAAATTTCCCCCATTTTGGGAACAGTAATTTAGGGAAACTACCAAATCATGAGCCTGCATTCCTTGAGGATTCAGGAGTTTCGCGGCTGAAGTTTCCAAGTTGTTGCTGCAGGGATTGGGGCTTCTGGAGCTTCGCGGCAAGATAGTCCGTTTTTGTTTAGGAGCCTGAGCTTCTCGGATGCACCTCGAAAAGTCCGTTCTTGTGATGTGGGCCTCTGGAATTTGTTTTTCGCCACCGAGGCTCGTCACCCAAAATTGGGGCTCCGGGTCGGATCTCCATTGCAGGGACTCTCACAAAATTATGACATATTTCTTGCAGGGCAACGTGAGCGAACCTACCCTATTTCAGACCTCAGCTCATGTTTGAAGGACCGTTGTCTTTATGGGGCCGCTTTGGGGGTTCCACGTCAGCTTTCGGAGGTAGATTTTGAGAGACGGACTGCGGTTTCGGTTATGACAGAGTTTCAGAGGTTGGCAGGTGACACTTTGAGGGTTCAAGGCTGGCCTTGCTTAGAAAGGTTGCCGCAAGGTTCTCAGAGGCAGGTAAGAGGATTACACTACCAAAGGGACCCCGCAAGTAACCAGGTCATCCTCAGCAGATACTTTTCCGAACATCCCCCCTTTCCAGCATCCTGCAGTAGATTTTCTGCTTGCGGATGGACAGCCGAGTCCTTGAGCTCCAAGTCGGACAGCGCATAGCAGGCCTATCACAGTAGCCGTAGCCCGCCAGCCTTGTAAGGTTCGGATTCTGCCATTAACTTAAGTGCCTATGGAGCGTTCTCAGCATCTGCCTAAGATAACGCAAAACTCCAAGAGTTTTGTAGTGTTTGCAAGCCAGAGTTCCCGCTGCCAGTAGAGGACCTGACGTCCTTCGGGGAACCTACTCCCTACCACATCATGCATCTCGGCGTTGAAGCTGACAATGCTTTCCGGAAATCAAATTCATTCCCTTGAATTCAACTTTTACGAAACGTTCTAATTCTGCAGGCCTACCTATTATAGAATATGTCAGAATAAGCGTCGCGGCGTCGCCGGGGTGAGTGTTTCTTGTGCACACAGGTCTGCCACATGCGTGGCAGTTCCCCAAGTCAGGGGTCTCATGAGATTCCGCGATACAGGGACGACTTCTCCGCTGAAGGCTTTAGACTAAACCCTAAGCTATATATATATATACATACATACACACCCTCAACCCTGAATCCCAAACCCTAAACCCCAAATACGACACCTGTAATCTCAAGACCCTTGTACTGCGCACCAGGTTTGGCCCAGACCAGTGCAATGCCGAGAAGCGGACCCATCTCATCTTTAGTTACAAGGGCTTCTCTGCTTGAAAGTTGCGGTTCACATTACTGCTGATACTGAAATTCCTGCATGACCTAGGTATGCTAGAGTACCATAATTCCCCCGGTCTAGGTTCCTTAGGGTCATGCAGGAATTTTAATATCCACCGCAGGTAGGGGAAACCAGGTTATCATCTATATCATCCTACAGTTACCACTACAGATCACACGAGGTTTAGCTTCCCGGCTTGAAAGTTTCAAGGTTGATGAGGGCCCCCCCTGCAAGGAGCCCCTCAACACCCAAACATCCTGTTGGGGATTGGTGAGGCTCATATGAGCTGTAGTCTAAACAAAGGGGGTATATACAGGGGATTATTTTGGGAACAACTATGGGGATTACTAAGGGTAGGCGTTTAGACAATGGCTCATATGAAGACTGCTCTGTTCGCTCATAAGGTGCTGAAGGGGCCCCAGTGTGCTGGCATCACCCAAGTCCTAGCTTCAAAAAGGGGAGCCCGAATCAACCCCGAGGTAAAGCTGAAGTTTGAAGGGTGACAACCTCTTGAAAGACCAAACAAACATTAAAACCTTACTATGGAAACCCACAAGAGGGACCCCACATTTTCGGAAATCCCCATCTGGCCCAGGAAAGAATTATCTAAAGAAGACCGAGCTGCCTTACAAGCAGGAAGGAGCTTCGCCAGCAGCTGAGTACAGGGTGCTCTGGGGATTGTTTACTGTTGGTTAGTAGTAGGGAGGTCTCTTATGTAGTGCTTCTTGAACCTTCTTGTAATGTGTTGACTTCATTTTTTCATTACCAATCACAAGTAAGGTATCGGGCGCTCTTTCAGGGGTTTGGAGTCTTGGAGAATTTCGAATTGGGGAGGGGGTGTAAGGTGCAGGTATTTGGTATGTGGCGGATGAAGGACATCTTGCACTGCCTTATACACCCGCAACAACAACAATAGCAATTCAGGTATCCCAAGTGGTGCAAAATTTCCTCCAAGTATCCCTAAACCCTAAACCCTAAACCTTATCACCTGGCGATTTGAATTTATGCGTTTGAGCAGCGGCTGACTTAGGGCGCAGAGGCCTGACAGGTGAGGACATTCGGGAAGGTTTTGCAGGGCTCCTCTTTCTTGTTCGCTTGCTGGCTCTTGTTTCAGCAGTTGATACGCTGCAAGGACCACAGGCGCACGCGCGCACACACACACACACACACACATGCGGCTTGAGGCTTTGGCCGGGCAAGCTCAGTCGGAATGGGCTGGAGTTGGCCCGAAAATTTCCACTCAAGCAATTGGGCTGGCACTCTTACGGCCAAAATGAAGGTGGAAGAAGGGAAGTGCATGCGGAATGTGCTAGGCTCTAGGGTTGTCTGGGGAATTCTTTTGTTTACTCCTATGCTGAGTAGATTGGAGCCCCACCTTAGCTTTTAAATCCTTTCCAAAACATTCCTCGCAGTTGAAGGACTTCGGCAACCACGTGTCTGATGGAAGCCTAGTCTGGAGACGAAAAGCTCAAGAATCATCAAGTATCTCTTAGGTGAAGGTGTCTCGCACCTGTACCGACTTCAACTAAAACCTGGTAGCTCCGTCCGAGTTGAGGCAGCTGCGGGGGTCCAGTTCATGTAAGCTGGGACTTCTAGGTTTACGGGATGACGCTCATGGCATAGCAGGGTCGAAGCTGACGCCCCCGTCTTTATGCAACCTCCCATAATATCTCTAGCTGATTCGATGTTCACGGGTGTTTTGATTCTACGTGGTCCCACTGTTAAGTTTGAGCTGCTGTTTCGGGCTCGCTGATTCCAGAAAGTAAAGGGGTTCCAAGGTGACGGCGTCAGCTAGGAAAACAACAACTATGATTACAACCCTGCGCAGAGAAATCTACGAATGACAATTGCATTGGGCACTAAAAGCCAAACATGATGCCCATGTGATTTTGGAATGGCTAGGGTAACAGAAGTTGGTGTATTCTTCGGCCAGCGAGAAAACCAGACCATCCTAAGCTGGAGTTCTTGATTTTAGAAGTTCCATGAAGATGTTGTAGAGTTTCTGCTTTTGATAATTTGAGTGAAGAAGTCGAGATTCGAATTTCTACCAGGGTTCCAGGGAAGGTATAGGTAACCCTAAAGCCAGCCCATCCTGAGGAAGACGCAGAGGTGGGTGGGCTATAGTCTAAATTCCCCAAAGTGGGGCTATCTAGCAGAGTATTATAGGGGCTATGAAGGGGATACCAGGAGTTTAGACTATAGCTCACATGGGGTTGTATAATAACCCCGCTTGTCTACGTTATGTAAGGAGTGTCTTGAGAGAGCGGTTGACCTGTAAAACGATAAGGAGTAAAAAAAAAGATAAGGTTCAGTTTT